TGGGGGCGTCCTCCAGGTAGCCCACGTGATGGAGGAATGGGGGACACGAAATTGTGAGCACTGTTGGATTGGAGGCTCAGCCTCCATGCCATCTGCACGGAGGTCATAAGGCAACTCAAGGTGTTCACAATCAAGAAACGATACCACACAGTCAACACGTGAAAGGGGCACATAGTAAAAACTTACTTCTTAAAGACAAAAAGGAAAGCTATTGGGTGGTGACAGCTCCTCACAACAGAAAAATATAGATGATTCGGCAAGTAAGTGTTGGGGTGAAAATTTGCAGTTTGCTAATGAAGCAGCCATGCTAGAAAAAGCAAAAGTTGGTTAAGGCTGCATCATACCTTTGGTAATCTTCTGTGATGATAGAGATATTAAATTTATTTTGGATTCAACTTTTCATGAAGGTAGGCATGAAAGTGTGTACTTTTATCCAATGACTAATGAATGCTACAGCTGTGGGATTGAGTCCTGAAGACTTTTTCCTATTTGTGAAGGAATGGGACATGCTCCTCTAATACTAAACTTTGATTAAATACTAACTTGGAGCTGCACATGGTATCACAAACTTATAACCCAGCACTGGAGGCAGAGGCAGGATCTTTGAGCTCGAGGCCAGCCTGGTCTACACAGCCAGTTTTAGGTTATTGTCAATTAATGGTCACTTTTCTTCAGTGAAATAAGCCCATGCCCATCCATGTTCATGCCAAGAATCCTGACTAAACTCACTGGGTCATAGAGAACGAAATCATGAAAGTAGTGGACTTGCTGGGAAGACTCTAGATAGTGTGGGAAGGAAGACTAGAAGGTAATGGGAGTGAATGTGATCAAAATACATTATATATGGTATGAAACTGACACAGAATAAATAAAAAAAAAACAGGGGAAGGTTTAACTAAAACTAAGGAAGTATGAAAAACCCATATAGAAACCCATTACTTCATTAGCTAATACTTTCAAAGGAGTTTGACTGGAGCTACCTTCTGTACTCCTACAAAAATATTTTAGCCTAAAGGTCACAATTTTAGGGTTATTTATTTTTGTGAAAACATAAAAAAGGTACTCTATGTTCTATAGACCAATCTTGTGATTGGTATAAAGCTTTCAAGTTAAGTAAACATTGAAAGCATTACAGATGATGGGTTTAAGACAAGTCAAATAAATCTTAAAATACATCATGTGATTTAAAATAAACCTTTATAATTTACTTCTTAAACATAAACCATGACTTTCTATAAGTTGGTTTTCTAAGAAAAATGATAAATTATAAAAAATTGAATCATTGTCTGAAAACAGTGGGTACTGAGGAAACAGTATACATATTAGCTTCCTTGATCACTAGAATAAAAGGCACATAAATTGTTGATAAAGTTCACCTAGGCATACACACAGCATACAACAACGCTTAGTGAATTTCAGTAGTATAAAAAATGATCTGAATTAGTGAAAGTCAGAGTATTTTTTGTTTTGTTTTGAAGTCAGAGGATTTGTTCAGATTCAGTTTGCATTGACTTTTACATGAATAGCAAGTTAAAATACTAACTCCAGGTAACTGCCTTTTTTATTTGCATTATGAGGACATCAAACTAAAGTTCCTTTGATGAATAAATACAACTTTGTTAGTAAATACTGTGTCTAGAATCCAGTGATTATTCGTGGACGTTTGATGGGTTATGAAATGGTCAAGAATTCAGAGTGGCTATATAACCCAGCCTTCTAAACACTGTGGTGAACCAGCACACATGGCCAGATGATGTGGCTGGGCCAGCGTGGTGGGCACATCTTCTTTTCCCAGATGAAAATCAGCACATGATTTTATGCAGCATTCCTCCTAAATGTTCTCCAGTGCCTTTCAGAACTTTGGTAGGGGAATAGAGCCTTCTTTTTTAGCACAGTTCTGAAGCCTTCTTGCTCATTTCAGTCATGAAACAAAGTAGAAGCCTAACATGCAGTGCATTCCCGCTCATAGGAAAAAGCAGCCTATGTTAAAGACCTGCACACATCTGACACTGGCTTGAGTGAGAATGGGCAGAGCTTTTCTGCCCAGGAGGAGTGCTCTAACACCCTGATTTTAAAGGTCAGTTTGCCTGTGGAGAGTGCAGCTGATTTGCTCCCTCATTCATCAGCTTTCCCCGGGACCTGCTCTAGGCTATCACTCTTTGCAACTGCAGCAACTCGAGGGTGGACATTTGCAGAACACCAGAAAGAAAAAGGTTCATGACTTCAAGTCCCAGGTCTGGGAATCAGTTTTCAAACACAGAAACACAGAAAATATTCGTCACATCCTTTGCATTCTTCAAGTATAGCTCAGCTAACTGCCCCTGGCTAGAACGTGTTTAATTTAGCTTTAAGTCTCAAAAACCTTCTTTCTATTCACAGGAATGAAATGGACATAAGTGTTCTAGCCAGTTTAGTCTTTTTGTCTTTTCTACGAACCTGGAAGCAACACCTGTATAAACTTTAGAGAGAAAACTTCCCTGCATGCTTTAATTAGGGTTAAACTTACACCAAGCCGGAGAAAACAGACACAGAAAGGAAGCAAACAGAAGTGCGCATCAGCCTGAGGTCTTAGCCTGGTTTTATTTGCTTTTGTGTAATGCATGGGAAAAGCTCAATCTGACCCCTGGGAAACTGGCCTTTGAAATCTTTCCTCACGGATAACAAAAACAAGTCAAAGATTTATCCTTCCAGCACAAACAAACATCTATATACACATTCTCAAACAACCAAGGCAATAGATTATTATACAGGGAGATGTTTTGTTTTTGTTTTTTAGTTAGCGTGTTACATAATCCATCATACATGGGTTCTGACTCTAAAATGACAGCCTTTTTGTTAAAAATGCTAGTAATACTAGAAATTTTATAGTCATATGGGGAAAGAAGGTATATAGTCTTTTGTCAAATTTGCTCATGGATATTGTGATTCACTTAAAGAAACAGCTGAAAATTAATTATTCAAATAATTATAATTGGTCTCATTAAGCCACTAGGTAGGAAAGAAAATCACCAACATGTATTTACTGAAAAAAAATGGACAACTTTCAAAGATGACCAAGTAGTTTACAAGCAATGCTCAAAAGTACTGGTTAGAGTAAGTTGGGAATGTTTTCATATCACACAAAACCAACTCAGTTTTCCCAGCCTTCTTTCTGCTAGAAGCTCCCTTTGGATGCAGACAGTCACACACACAGTTGGATGTAGACAGTCACACACACAGCTGGATGTAGACAGTCACACACAGTTGGATGCAGACAGTCACACACACAGTTGGATGCAGACAGTCACACACACAGTTGGATGTAGACAGTCTCACACAGTTGATGTAGACAGTCACACACACAGTTGGATGCAGACAGTCACACACACTTGGATGCAGACAGTCACACACACAGTTGGATGTACAGTCACACACAGTTGGATGTAGACAGTCTCATACAGTTGGATGATGTAGACAGTCACACACACAGTTGGATGTAGACAGTCACACACAGTTGATGCAGACAGTCACACACACAGTTGGATGTAGACAGTCACACACACAGTTGGATGCAGACAGTCACACACACAGTTGGATGTAGACAGTCTCACACAGTTGATGTAGACAGTCACACACACAGTTGGATGCAGACAGTCACACACACAGTTGGATGTACAGTCACACACAGTTGGATGTAGACAGTCTCATACAGTTGGATGATGTAGACAGTCACACACACAGTTGGATGTAGACAGTCACACACAGTTGATGCAGACAGTCACACACACAGTTGGATGTAGACAGTCACACACACAGTTGGATGTAGACAGTCTCACACAGTTGGATGTAGACAGTCACACACAGTTGGATGATGTAGACAGTCACACACAGTTGATGTAGACAGTCACACACACAGTTGGATATAGACAGTCACACACAGTTGGATGCAGACAGTCACACACACTTGGATGCAGACAGTCACACACACAGTTGGATGTACAGTCACACACAGTTGGATGTAGACAGTCACACACAGTTGGATGATGTATACAGTCACACACAGTTGATGTAGACAGTCACACACACAGTTGGATATAGACAGTCACACACAGTTGGATGCAGACAGTCACACACACAGTTGATGCAGACAGTCACACACACAGCTGGATGTAGACAGTCACACACAGTTGGATGCAGACAGTCACACACACAGTTGGATGCAGACAGTCACACACACAGTTGGATGTAGACAGTCTCACACAGTTGATGTAGACAGTCACACACACAGTTGGATGTAGACAGTCTCATACAGTTGGATGATGTAGACAGTCACACACACAGTTGGATGTACAGTCACACACAGTTGGATGTAGACAGTCTCATACAGTTGGATGATGTAGACAGTCACACACACAGTTGGATGTAGACAGTCACACACAGTTGATGCAGACAGTCACACACACAGTTGGATGTAGACAGTCACACACACAGTTGGATGTAGACAGTCTCACACAGTTGGATGTAGACAGTCACACACAGTTGGATGATGTAGACAGTCACACACAGTTGATGTAGACAGTCACACACACAGTTGGATATAGACAGTCACACACAGTTGGATGCAGACAGTCACACACACAGTTGATGCAGACAGTCACACACACAGTTGGATGTAGACAGTCACACACAGTTGGATGCAGACAGTCACACACACAGTTGGATGCAGACAGTCACACACACAGTTGGATGTAGACAGTCACCCACAGTTGGATGCAGACAGTCACACACACAGTTGGATGTAGACAGTCTCACACAGTTGTAGTGCACCCTCACATACTGCACTTTTCTCTCAGGAATTGTTGATGCCATTATTACCTTTACAATCTAGAAACTCCCCAAAGACCTAACTGAAATCCACCCAAATCCAATTTCAACCGAAGGAAGAATATCACCCAAGATCTATTTATTGCTAACAGCCTGATAACAGGGAGAGAAAATAGGCACCCAATCTTCTCACTTACCTAGGAGTTTCGCAATGATATAAAGAGCTTGTCCCCAAAGAAACAATTTCCCATCACGGCCACAGTTACTAGGAAACCGTTTCTGACTACCAGGGTTTCTCTTTTCATACTCTACAAAGTCAGCTGGCACATAATAGTACTTTGGTACAACAGGATATCCTAAAGAGTAAAATAAAATAAAATTTAACTTAATTTAGAAGCAAGCATATTAAACTAAAACAGTGTTCTCCACAAAGTTCCCTTTGAAGAACCTGTGAGAACAGAATAGCAGGGACAGTGGTGTGTTGTACATGAGCAGATTTAATGAACTACAGAGACATGTGACACGCTGGTCCCTTCAGATATTGCTAGGGAACCACAGGGGAAAAGAGTTCCTTGACTTTAGAACTAATTCTATAGTATATTAGGCTTTAGACAGTAACATATGTATATCTCCTTTAACAGCAAACACCTTTAAGTCAGTATATATGTGTGGGTGCATGTGTATATGTGTATGTGTATACACATGCATGTATGCATACACGTACATATACATATATCTGTATATATGCAAGTGCATATGTATATATATGCATACATATATCTCAGCAATATTTATATATATAGTATACAGATATTCAGTCATAATAAAAATTATCTTAAATAAAATCAAAAGCATTGTAACAGGAACAGTGACCAGTGCTGTGAATGACACCTCATGCTTTATGTCCACAAGATGATGTATTTGTTTTGACTAGCACACCAAAATTCCAAAAACTTTAACTTACATACAAATTTCCAAAGCTATTCTCATGAAACTATAACTCTATTAATATTTTCAAACCAAAGATATCTAAAATACTAACCTTAAATTCCTTTGGGAATTTTCCAATTAAGTTTTTTTTATGGGCCCTGCTGGTATTTGACTCAAACCAATACAGCCTTACTCCTAAGATTTGGCAATTTGACTATTTCTAAAACATTGAATCCATCTTCAAAGAATGGCATCTTGGTAAAAGGGAAAACATTCAAAATATAATGCTAAAAGCCAGAAGCATCTCCCAAGAGCCTAGAATGCCTATACTGAAACTCCTGCCTTCAGCCCAATGCAGTCTTTCCAGGGAGCCCTCCTAGGGTCTAGGGCTGGACGGTAACACTCATCGAGCTATATAATTTTTGATGACTTGAATAAAAAGTAGACTCTTTGTAGTATGTAACACTACACAGAGTAAAGGAACTATACCATAAATATCACACAGTTGCCTCCATGCAAACTCCCTCAGCATCACTACAGCCATGACCACTTACATTCATGTTCATCCCTGTTTTGCCTAATGGACTGCTTTTGTAAAACACATTTGTTAAGGCCTCATTTTTTTTCAATATAATATAAATAATTGTGTTTTACAAAGGATTGATGCACACATTTCACATAAACAAGGAAATGCTGAAAGAATAAATTCTTGATAGAAGAACTCTACCTTCTGTGGTGTGGTGAAGCAAAGGAGTCAAAAGGTCCTGATATTCTTTGACTTGTTGGGGATTGCCTCTAAAAACACCTAAAACACAAAATACAAAATCCAATACTAGCTGTGCTCAATAAGCATACAAAAATTTTGCGTTATAAAAACTTCTAAGTCCTTTTACAATTATTATGCCAAACTTTATATAAATGAAAACATAAAATTCAAGAGGAATGTAAATAGGTATGACTTTTTATAGAAATTGATTTCAGAAAGTCATTCTAGTATTTAGAATTAAATTTTGAATTAACTGAAATTTCACTATGCCTAAGCGTAAATGTTATAGATATTCAATATCATATTATAGTATTCATGACTTCTATGATAAGCTTTTCTTTATAAGTATGAACATGATACTGGCATCAATATTAAAGACAAAGTGCTTTTGAAAGTTCTTTAAGCATGCATGTGGAAGGCAAGGACTGAAATTCAATCTTCTGCTGTGGCATGCGTGCACCTGTACTCACAAGAATTCCTGCACACACTACATACACACATGCACATATATCATACACATACATCACAAATACACACACACACACACACACACACAAACACTTTTAAATATTCTTTAAGATCTGACATTCACTCAGAAGGCAGAACAACATAAAAATGCAGAGTTGCTACCATTGCTTAAGTCTAATCTAATACTAGATGAAAGAAATCACTCATTTCAGCTAGTCTTTCAAGACTTATTATTTTTACTTTGTGTGTTTGAGTGTGGCTTATGTATGTTCATGAGTACATGCAGGTGAACATGCATGTGTGTGCACATGTGTAGAAGCCAGAGACTGACACAGGATGTCTTCCTTAATTCCTCACTAATTCTATGAGACAGATACCTAAACTGTACCTGGAGCTCACCCATTTGGTTAACCTGACTGGCCAATGGCCTCAAAGATCCACCTATCTCCACCTCCTGGTGCTGAAATTACAGGCAGGGGCTGGAGATCAGACTAGGGCCCTCATGCCTGCACCACAAGCATTTTACCAGCTGAGCCATCTCAGACCCTCAGCTATTCTTTAAGTCACTTGTGTTCTGTATCTTCAGTATCAGAAAAAAGTTCACTTACCATCAATCATCATGTAAAGGAAAAATATGGGAAATTCACATTCAATGCCATCAAACAGCTAAAAGGGAAAATAAAACATTAAGGTTTCTACTAGCAAACTAGAGCAACTACATTTTAGGTTACATGTAAGGGACTTACTTATTTATAGTAATAAATTCAAGTTGAGAACAATTGTTCTTTAAAAAAAAATTCAGAGCTTTTATTCAAAAGCTCATTTAATGAACTCACTAGACAGCAGTGATTAAATAAATATATACTAAGTACTCACTATCACCCAGCACTAACTAGACAGTGCTTCTCAGCCTTCCTAATGTGGTGACCCTTTGATATAGTTCTTCCTGTTGTGATGACCCCCAACCATAAAATTATTTCACTACTTCACAACTGTAATTTTGCTACTATTATTAATTGTAATATACATATCTGATATGTGGGATATCCGATATTTGATCCCCAAAGGGTCATGACCCACAGGCTGAGAACAGCTTAACTAGACAGAGCCCTGGGGACAAAAGTTAGATACTGTGCCCCCAGAGGCTCACAGCATAGTGGGGAGGCTGGCAAATGAATAAATAACCACAGTTCAGCACACACTGCCCACACACAGCACATCACGAACATAGATTGCGAAACACCTGAGTCTGTCCTGAGCATCAGAGAAGGGTTATATGGTAAGGAATCAGTTAAAACGTTATGCACAGAGCCAACAGTAGAAACTACAGACTTATGGGGGTACAAACATTGATGGTGGACGTTCTTCTGTATATATGTTTCTCTTATTTGTTGATGAATAAAACACTGATTGGTCAGTAGCCAGGCAGGAAGTATAGGCAGGGCTACCAGAAGAGAATTCTGGGGAGAGGAAGGCAGAGAGAAGCCACCAGGGAGATGCCATGTAGCAACCAAAAGGAGTAACATGCTAGAGCTTTACAGTAAGCCACAGCCTCATGCAATACATAGTTTAATAGAATTGGGTTAATAATTAAGAGAGAGCTAGCCAGTAAGAAGCCTGAGCCATTGGCCAAACAGTTTGGAAGTGATAGAAGTCTCTGTGTGTTTATTTGGGGATGAAAGCCGGCAGGACCAGGCTGGACAGAAACTCCATCTTCAAAACATGTTAACGAAACTATCTCAGTTCACTAGTTCTAGAACATACTGGCACAGAGAGTAAAAGTGGAAGTCTAGCGAATGGGCGGGAAGCCAAATCAGGACTTTTGCTGCTCAGAGACAAGCTGACTTGGAGGTAGTGGTGAACACTGAGAAGGGTCAAGGTCTTGGTTACATTCATTTCCAGGCTGGGCAGCCAACTGTTCTTACTGTTCTTAGGAGTTGTGGAACAAGAAATGAGGAAATCAGCTCAAAGCTATAAGAACAATTCAAAGAGAAACGATGATGCCCAGAACTGTGTGTCTCAACTTTAGTACGATGGGCATTTTGGGCAAATTGTAACATGGGATATTTTATATCATTCCTATCTTCCATTAATCTGACGCCAACTTAAACGATAATAATAATAAAAAAAATCTATACATCCTGTCCAGTGTCTAGTTTGGTGACAAAATAGTTCAACTTTATGAACAACAGTTTTAAGTCAAGGAATAAGACAGAAAAGGGGGCGGGGATTAGGGCTTCTAAAGAGGATAACTCAGTCACATTTTGTGAGTGATAAAGTTGGTTAGGTGGTTGGGGAGACTGACAGCTGCCATCAAGTCCAAGGACCTTGGTTCCATTCACATTGTGAAAGAACTAGCTCCCAGGGAGCTGCCCTCCATATGCTCACTGATGCATGATCACACATATGGGCATGTGCATATGCATGTGTGAGAACACACACAGACACACCACTCAGTAACATACTTAAATTTAAAAAATGGTGGTCCAGTGATAAGGAAATGCCTAGAGTGACTGAGATATGGACCTAGGCAGAGGACCAGGAGCTAAACGCAGGCAGACTGTAGGACACCTAAGATGTATGTCTAAACAGCAGGTACACTTGTAGGGAGGCTCACCATGAGTCAGCGACAGAGTACAGTTTCAGCAACAATAGCTGTGCGAGCGTGGTAGGAAGAGAAGCACAGTGAAAATGGATCACAGAAGCAGGAGATGGAGACTGACAGAGCAGGGATGGAGGGGAAATGTGGTCACAGCAATCAACATTCTCCAAGAGAGAACACAGTTAATGTATTCAGACACCACGTGATTCAGCAAAACAAGGTGAGCGAAGCAATAGCCACTCTGACCCAGCCACTCAAACTGCCTGGAGCCAGCCGAGAGCTAGGAGGAGGCAATCAAGGGATCACCAGTCAACGCTGCTGTTTAGAAAGCCTGTGAGAATTTTCTGAGGTAAGGCTAGGGTGGCAGCCGGCAGAGCAAGCACTGGAGGTAGGTTTTGAGAGTTATAATTCAGATAGGCTCTGATTGCAGCTTGACTGCCCATGAAGTACACATAGTTCATGCTGCCAGAGCTGTTAGACATCCATAAAGACATGCCTTCCCTGCCTTGGTGGACGGGAGCCCCTTGGACTATGAGCTGGAATTGCACTTTGTCACATAAATTGTTTCTGTCTCCAGTTCTGTAACCCAGTAAAGTAACCATATCCTAGGTCTATATACAAGATATAAACCATGCTTTTCAGGGTCATGACTACAGACAGAAGACAGGAGACTGACAAGAATAAATGTTGAGGGAGCCTTTTGTTTGTATCTTTAATAATGGGTATTAATGTGCTTATGCCAAAGGAAAAATTAAGCTGGTAGAAGCAAAATGGAGGGAAGGTTGAAGAGGGGAAGACGAAGAAGATAGTCACGTGTCCTATGAGAGAAGAAAATGCTCAGTGGGATTTCCAAGAAAACGAGTAAAAAAAGAAAAAGGATGTATGTACACAAAGAAATGTGCATGTGTGTATGTATCTATGTATTTCTTCATATGGAACACCTCAAGACAGACAGAAGCTTCCGTGAGGTAAAACACAGAGTCGGTGTCGATGAAGGGAAAGAGGCAGTGGAGGCTGCCACCCAGGAACAAAACGCTGCCAGCAGGAATTAGGCAAAGAGCTGAGAGCCTGCGTCCAAGGTTTCCTTGTCTTTTAAGGGACCTCTCTATGGGATCACATATCAGACCTGACAGAAGAGAAAGCAGTGACAAGGACTGAGTCAGCATGGGTATCCTGGATTTGGGATGGCACCTACTCACAGTCTGTCACTTTCTCTAGCTGCACCCAGCAGGTGAGGGAGTGGGTGAAGGAGTACAAGGAGTTTTGTTTGTGATAGGGTCTCTCTGTGGAGCCCTAGCTGGCCTGGAACTTACCACGTAGACCAGGCTGACCAAAAGATTGAAAATGCTAAAAATATTATTTAACCAATTAATCCATGTGGCCCATGTGGCAAAAAGAATTAATACTATTTGATCAGTTACTACATATTAAGCACAAGTCTAAATATCAACATATAAAATCATTCAATCCCCAGAAAAAGCTCATGGTAGAGATGAAATTATTTTTAGCAATAAATAGTGTTAAACACAATCAGATGGAGCAGGATCTCAAAGCAAGAAGCCAGTCTCCTCGATACATGCTTTCAAGCACTTGCTTGTGCTAGCATGGACCAGTTTGTGGTACCTTAATTTCAGCTGGTTTGTAATAGCGTCTGTTGGGATCTTCCAATGATGTTCTATATCCGTCTCTCAAGAAACGCTTAAATCCATATTTTCCTTTTAATTTTCTGACCACTTTATCAAGTGTCTGACTGAACAGAACTTCATCATCCAAGGCAAACGCAGGGTAACTGATGCATGGGATCAGGGCAGCGTCTGTGTTCTGCGGTCATTAAGAAAAAGACCCTGTAAGTGTCTGCAGTGACATGACCAACAGTCCAAGAAGCAGCATTGTCAAAGGAAAGTCAAAAGCTTATCAGGTGACAGTGAGCTTAAGACAGACAAATGTTTCTATGACATGTCTCTGTAAACCCGATACAACAGATGACACTTCACTCACTAACAAAAAAAATTTTCCAACTTCAATATTAGGCTGTAACTTAAAAATTACAACTAAACAGAATATAAAAAATTAATACATATTAATGCAACTCAGTTAACATAACAATATGCCTATAACAGTGAAAAGGAGGAAACAAAAGGTCCAACAGCTGAGTAAATTAGTACCATTAGAATTCATATTGCAGAAGCAATTAATTTATATTACAGAAATTTGTTTACTGAACGGAAACATGCTTGCTCATAAAAAAACATTATTCTAATTTCTTAAAGGAAAAAATTTATATTCTCTAATATATGTGTCAATGTATGAGAATGCTGCCACAGACTATTTAATTGGTGGAATAAATGGATAGAGCATCATTAAATAAACAGATAATGCTTCTTTATTGATTCTGTATTCATTACCATCTGGCATTACTCTTATAAAATAGTTAACTATTCTACTAAGGGTAGTTTTTGAAGGATAAAACAATAAACGATCCCTGGGAAAATGTACAGTCAGGTACAAGAAGTATACAGAATTTCATCAGACAAAGAGTCAAACATGGTCTGCCACTGTGCCGTGCTGAAATGAATGATTTTATATCCCATCATAAAAACAATGACTGGACAGCTTTGCCTAACCCTGTTTACTTCCTGACTAGGCTCAGAGGCTAGAGAGAGGAGGCACGTCTGCAGCGTGTCTCCTGTCCTGCATGAACTCGACACTGCAGTGTGCTTTCTTGAAAGGTAAACACACAGCATAAAAACTGCAATGCTGCACATCATCTCACATGAGAGCGTGATTCTCTGGGTAACAGTGAGCACAGTGTCTGCCTGTTGCGATTGTGAGCGTCGAGATCCACAAATATAACTGACCAAGAACAGCCCTGGAAATTGAAAAAGAAACGCATTTCAGAGAATTGTAAGCCATGTGACAATCTGTGAGAAAAGACAATTCAAAAGCTTTCCATCATTGAATGCAATTGTGTAAGACATTAATAAAGACCTTAATTTTCATTAATTATTTGCTTTACATATAAATGGATGTTTTGCCTGTATTCATGTGTGTGCACCACATGCATGTCTGGTGCACACAGAGGCCAGAAGAGGGCATCAGATCCCCCGGAACCAGAGTTCAGACAGTTGGGAGCCTTTATGTGGCTGCTGGGAATTGGACTTGAGTCCTCTGGAAGAGTACCCAGTGCTCCTGAGATATCTTTCCAGCCCTTTATTTTCCTTTTGTATGCTTTCAATATTTCCCAAATTTCCTGAAACAATCATATAATCATTAGATATTATTTTAATATTTTCCTCTTTTCTTATAATCATGTTTTATTTTATAAGATGTCTAATAAATTACATTCACTTTAATGAAGATACAGTTTAGCGGGTGAGTATGATATGAAATAAATCAAGAGATAATTTATATTAATAAATCTGAGTTGTGAACACCTAAATAATTCTGATTATCAAACTAAACTCATTTAGGTAACAGTTGAGAATTAGGCCTATAAAAATATGTGAAGGTACAAAGTGATGGTAAGAGAATCTTAAGTAATAACATTAGAAACTCCTCTTCATACCTCTCGTGAAAAGGCCCATGTGGCTAGGGCTATCCCTCCAATTGAAGATAAGAAATCCTAGCCCAACAGGGCAAAGAGATAAAATCCAGTCTGCCGCAGAAACTCATTTAATGAAGTATTAGGTTAAATAATTTCCCTACACTAAAAAAGCTTGGAAGAAAGAACAAGAAATTTGAATAAAAAGATACATGTCAACTGGTCTGCAACAACATTTAAGGAATTTTCTTTTTTATTTTTGTCATTTAGACATTAGTATATTTCCTATTTAATAGCACAGTATAAAATGAACAACTTTAATGGGAAGCTAAATATTTTAAAACACATAATAGGGAGCTAGAAAGATTGCTTCCATTACAAAAAAATACTCAAAAATTAAATGAGAAAATCAGACATCATATATTTTATGTAGCTTTAAAATCACATTCCAAATCTTATTCCAATTCTACCCAACATTGAAGACTCACACACCTGGAAACTCCAATATCTGACTGAAGTTTCAAACCTAGGAGCACCTGACAGGAGATCCAAGTGTCAGACTCAGGAGTTGTATATGCTCCTGTTAACTCTGTCCTCTGTGAACATTCTCTTGTAAAACACAGTAATTCCTCATTCAGAACACCAGCTTCAACAAGTCTTTAGCCCTGGCAAATGACTTGATAACAGATGAGTGAGGCTCTCTCAGTAGCTGTACTGTGGTTGAACAGAAGCCTGGGTTTCCTACATTTCCAGGGCTTCAGAAAGCATCCTGGAGCAGCTGCTCTCATCAGTGAGGTAAACAAGAGTGAATTTGAACACTGCTCCAGAACAGATGACTGACATAGATGTGAGGGACAGGGTGAAGTATGAGAACCTTACACCTGACTTAGAAAAGTGGCACTAAGTCCCCAGGTCAGTGGGAGAAGTGAGGACCAAAGCCAGAGCCTAAATTCTGGCAGAAGCAGCAGCAAGCAGACTGTTTGAAAAAGTAAGTGGGCTAGGCACCAGTGAATACACAAAACAACAGAAGCTATAATGTATTTGTAGGCCAATAACTGTCTGTCTGGAAGTGGACCTTTAAAATATATAATGTATAAAGGATATTCTTTAACTAAAAAGGCAAATTTGATAACTTGATTATGTGATAAAATAAGCAGTAAACTACTATTTTCTGGCCACAAATAAGCAATTTAGTTACCTAAACTCATCAAGTATTTGTTGAGGTCCCAATTTTCATTTACCAACCTTTAAGATATATGCCTAAGGGAAAATAATCTCACGAGGTGACCTCCTCCTAACACTGACATAGAATACCAGTGAACTCTGCCACTTGTATAAAAATATATACTACACACAGGCATCATGGCCCAATTGCCAGAAGGCGAAAAAACAAAAAGCAAATCCCCAAACTACACAAGGCCAAAGACAGCCATTTCCCATTTAGAAGCAAGTCTTGGAAGTCATGAGGAAAGCTCACACAGAATTATCACCTACAGATTTCAAAGGAACACAGATGTCTGCTCTGTTTTGAATGCAGCAGAACATGAGCAATCCGTCATCACCAATTAATCACCAATTAATCACCAATTACAGATTCTGACCCCCATGCATTTGCCAGTCTCTTGTCTCCCACAATTAAAGACTAGGAAAAGATGCAATAGGAATTATTTAAGAGAACCTCTTAACTTTGGCTACTTGATATTTACTTTGACTGTAAGTGTTTTGCTTGCATGTATGTTTGCGCCTCACATAGTATGCCTGGTGCCCACAGAAACCAACAGGTGTCAAATCCCCTAGGACTAGAGTTATAGATGGTGTGAGCTGCCATGTAGGTGCTGGAAATAGAACCCAGGACCTCTGGTAGAGCTCTTTACCACGAAGCCACCTCTCCAGGCCCAGACTGATTTTCATCCTCCGCTTCCTAAAACCACAACTCTGCAGAGTGTGCGGACTCTACCAAGAGCCTCTTTACAACTCAGTCTTTCTTTCAAAGTTCTAATCAACAAACATGATGACTGAACTTGACCATCACCATGAGGAGAGGAGCTTTAATAGTATGGAAGGGCACTCCTCTCCCCTTAAGGCTCATGACCAGAACCAACCCTTCTGAGACTAGCTGATCTGGTAGTTTCTGTTTCATTTTTACATGTACACTTTGGTATGGCAACTGGTTGGTTTTAGCTTGTGTCTCACCTGAATAGGCTTTTATGACTGTCCTTTTTCTGTATCTATTTCCATTGCTACTTGTATGGCTAAAGGAAAAAAGATCTTTGTTTCTATTTCTACCTGAAATAATAAAAGAAGAGCCCATTTAGTAACATTTAGCACATAGTTATATTAAAAACAGCCATGTTACAGCCCATTTAGTAACATTTAGCACATAGTTATGTTAAAAACAGTCATGTTCTTGGCTGCAATTTAGAATTCCTGAGAATCAAAACTCCAAGGAGGCTAGCCTCCTTTATACCAGGTCAGGAGGAAGCCTAGGTGTCATGACTGCCTTTTGAATTCCTGAATGGTTCTAAAGTTCACACAAGATTGAAAAACACACTAAAAAACAATATTGGCAGAATATTTATAGCTAAGACTCAAAACGCCTAATTAGGCAACTCAGATGTTACAGAAAAGGCCTTGATAATCATGCAAGGACAACAGTCACAGTGACTGTGTGCAAAGTGCCTGAAGAAGAGGGGTATGGTGTTAAACAGCCTCGGGTACTTCAAAGGAAGCTACACCATGACCAAAACCAAGCCAGTCATAGCTAACCTGGATACTCAGCCCCACTCAGTTTTCTCCTTGGCGGCCTAGGAAGGTCTGACCTTTCCAAACTGCTGTTATATTAAACCCCTCTGCTCTAATCCAGGATGCCCTGCCAAACAGTAGACAGCTCTCAGCCCATCACAATTTGTTAAACTTCCTTATAGAGCTTCCTTTTCTTATCCCTTTCGTGGAGCCCACTGTCCCTCTACAACAAGAATCCAGTAGCTAGCTGTTAAATACAGTCACATAGAATGTCACATCGCTTTGCCATTTCAGGAGTCTACAAACACTCCCGAAGAAAACTAGTCTAGTTCCTGGCCCAGAGCAGTGAGCTTCCTCTTACTCACTCTCTTCCAGCACCACACCACATGAATCCACTGTCAGCTGTTAGATTCTTTAAGTGCAAAAATTGCTGAAAGATCTCATGAAAATCTAAGGGCTCTGCTTCACACACACACACACACACACACACACACACACACACACACACACACACAGAGAGAGAGAGAGAGAGAGAGAGAGAGAGAGAGACAGACAGACAGACAGAGAGACAGAGACAGAGAGAGAGACAGAGAGGGAGAGAGAGATTTCAGACATGATTACAGGCTGCTCAGGTTCACTAGACCAATAACTTCCCATCCGCCATGCAGACATTACAAAAACTCTCTGCATGAACCATCCACTGAAATGCATTAAATCAAAACCAACATGAGAACTGACACGGACATTATATGGTACATAATACCAGAGATAAATAAAACATGTGAAACTCCTCAGAAATGACTCAGAGAAGAGTAAGGTTATCTAACAAGTCAGATTTATCAAGTAAGAGGGCTGATATCCACAGTACATGAAGAACTCAAGAAACTAGTCACCAACAAACCAAACAATCCAGCTCTAAACAGAGAATTCTAAACATAAGAATCTCACAAGGCCAAAAATGTTCAACATCCTCAGCTATCAGGGAAATGCAAATCAAAATGATTCCGAGATTTCAGCTTACACCTGTAAGAATGCATAAGATCAAACACACAAGTGACAGCTCATGCTGGAGAGGATGTGGAGCAGGGGGAACACCCCTTCATTGCTGGTGGGAGTGCAAACATGGACAGCCACTTTGGAAATCCATATGGCAGTTTCTCAGAAAGTTGGGAATCCATCTACCTCAAGACCCAACTATACAACTCTTGGACATATACCCAAAGGATGCTCTGTCATATCACAAGGACACTTGCTCAACTATGTTCATAGCAGCTTTATTTGTCATAGCCAGAAACTGGAAACAACCTAGATGTCCTTCAACCCAGAAAAAAAAGGTACATTTACACAATGGAGTACTACTCAGCTGTGAAAAACAATGACATGATAAAATTTGAAGGCAAATTGATGGAACTAAAAAACATCATCATGAGTAAGGTAACCCAGAACAAGAAAGACAAACATGGTATGTACTCACTAGTGAATAATAGATATAACAGAAAGGATAACCATGCTATAATCTATAGACCCAGAGAAGCTAAGTAACAAGGAAGGCTGGGGGTGGGGGTGGGGCTTGAATTTCACTGTGAAGGGTAAAAAATAGACATTGCTAGTGGATGAGGAGGGGGTAGGGTGGTGGAGTGGGGGATATTAATGAGGGGTTAGGGATGGGAGCAGGAGGGATCAGGTGGGGGTGGGGAAGGATGAAGGGAGAGAGTACTGGGAGAGATAACTGGAATTTGGAGCATCTCTGGGACAAGCTAGAGAAACCTAGTGTAATGTAAACTCTCAAGAATCTATCTATGAAGGGTACCCTAGCTAAGCCTCATAGATGTGGAGCCTGAACCAGTCATCTCCTATAACTAGGTAAGACTTCCAGTTGAGGAATTGGGACACCAACATAGCTATAAAACCTTTGACCTATAAGTTGTTCTGCCTACAAGATGTGCTGGAGTAAAGGTAGCATAGAAATTTGTGGGAGTGGTCAGCTGATGACTGGTCCAGCTTGAGACCCATACTATGAAAGAGAGGTTACTTCTGACACTGCCCGGAGGGCCAGGACCCAGAGGCTGGGTAGTCAGAGACCCAGAATAGAACCAAACATGCCTGGCAAAAAAAAAAAAAAAAAAGTCAATGAAATGATTCCTAATGATACTCATAGATCATTGCCTAGCCCAATTGTCATCAGAGAGGCTTCATCCAGCAACTGATGGGAACAGACACAGAAACTCACAGCCAAACATTAGGTGGAGCTCAAGGAATCTCATGGAAGAGAGGGAGATGGAATTGTAGGAACCAGAGGGGTCAAGGATATTACAAGAAAATGCACAGAATCAACTAACCTGTACATATATAAACTCATAGAGACTGGAGCAACAACCAGGGAACCAGCATGGGGCTGATCCGGTCCCTCTGCATATATGCTACAGTTGTGTGACTTGGTTTTGTGGGACTCCTAACAGTGGGAGCAGGGACCGTCTCTGACTCTGTTATTTGCTTTTGGGACCCTTTCCTTCTACCAGGTTGTCTTGTCCAGCCTTAATGGCAAAGGAGGTGCCAAATGCACTGCAACTTGATATGCCATGACTGGTTGATTTCCATGACAGGCCTGCCCATTTCTGAAGAGAAATGGAGGAGGAGTGGATGGAAGGTTGACAGGGAGGGGGAACTGTGGTCAGGATGTAAGAGCAAACAAAAATAAATAAATAAAAGATACCACCACCACCAAATGAAAATTAAACTTTAAATGGCTAAATACTTCAAAGGAAAGCTGTTCAACCACAGGCTGCCACGTATACCTCAGGTAGTCATGGTTTTAAGAACATGACTTTGATAAGATAGTAAGATTATATAAACATGCAAATAATAAAAATATTTTTTACCTGGTTTCCAAAGAGGTTAAATCCATTAATCGCTTCTAAGGCTGCTTTTGCTAAACCAACAGAGCTAGAGAAAAGGAAAACCATTATTACTGAGGTAGCACAGACAAATCTTTTTAGAAACATTCATAACAACCTCCATGGGAGAAAAACACCAGTCCCACATTTCATTAATTTAATTTAAATTAATTTAATAATGAAAACTCTTTCTAGGTTCACCTTGACTTAGATCCCACCACTGGAATGAACACAGGAAAGAATGGTGAACTTGGGGGTGAGCTCTGTGCAGTCACCTCCCAGCTGGACATCATTACTCACATCAATGGAACCGGTTCTTCTGGTGTCAATTCTCAGCCTTAAAGATTTTGTGTGTCATATACTTGTTACAGAATGCAATTTAGCATAGCCACTCAAATATGTACTTTCTAGGATCCAATAAAATAGGCATTACTTTATGTTCTATACAAGTGTTCCAAGCAGAGTGAATTTTGTCCTTGGGTAGATCATGCCCATTTCTTGTATAACTGAAGTTTTCAAGTCCAGTTTATTTTAGTTACTGCACATTTGTATTTGTGCTACTCAGACCCGACTGCACATATAGCTCACATCACGGTCAAGTCAGTATTTCTCCAGTGTAGTCCCCAAGCAACAGAAACAGCAGCCGTAGAAGCAGCAACACCTAGGAGTGTGCTAGAAATGGCAGCTTTCACTCCTCGATGTGTGGTGGTGCCAATAAATAATATTTAAAAGCCCTCCAGGTGTTTGCACACATGTCAAATTTCAGAATGATTGGCCGAGTGTGTAGTTCTGTTGCAGGACACCATCCTCAGGGTATAGCACAGCAGTTACTCCCTTAATCAGAGCATGTGTGACTATCCACAAGAGACAGGGAGGGGCATTGTTGTTAATTAGTGACAGCTACCCCAGGATGTGGCAACACCCCAGCTTTCTCAAGTTCCCCCAAAGATGGTCGAAGCCTCCAGGTCAGCAGGAAGCAGTCTTAAGAACTCAACGTCCTTATACCCTAACCTGCCGCGTCTAACACCCCCACCTCTTTTTAATCCTAAATAAAGGTGAGAATGAAAGCTTCAGGCATTATGCTGGCCTGCCCTGTTACCTGGCAGAATGTACTCAGACGGCACCCTGGCCAGCCCAGAGTTCCTTGAGACCCAGTCTACATGTAGCAGGTACAAAGGACCCCTTTAAAGGACAGATCCCTGCTTGCTTACTTACTCTCTCTCTCATCTCATCCTCTCTGATCTTCCCTTACTCTCATCCTCTCTCTCTCCTCTTCTCTCATCTTTCCTTACTCTTACTCTCTCTCCCCTCTTCTCTCTTACCTTTCTCTCACATGTCTGTCTCCCCGCTTTTGATCTCACTATAATAAACTAAGATTAATATGCTCTCCATGGCTTGTGCTCCATCTATCGTGCCGGCCCGGGTTCCCTAATTAACAACAGGCATTACACCCTCATCTGAAATCACAACAAGCTTCTGATCTGGTCTCCCCTCCCCACATCCCAGCACATCTAATTTGGGTCAGCTGCATGTGACTTGCAGAAGTGCTCAAGCACAGAACTTAGAAAGTGAACAGAAGAGTCACTCCAACTAAGCAGCTTTAACATGACCATCCATGCTGGGGTATCGTGTTCTGGTGACACAGCCCCTCTGTTCACCCATGTTCCTGTAAGTACCCTGCACTTTGCGCCTGTAAGTGCAGTCAAGTCACTGGTTTTCCAAGTTAACATGGATGCTGTTGTCCTTTGCTCTGTTGTTAGGGCCCTGTCTGGGGTGAATAGATGTTGATTCACATCTCTCCTAAGAAAAATTAATCCAACAAGCTCAGTGGTAGAATGTTTCCTACCTTAAGGACTGACCCATCAAAACTGAACAAATGAATGAATAAATTAGAACTATCACACTAAGCTAATTTATTACTGCTTTATAAACATTTATTATAAGCAATTTATTATAAGAAAAAGTGATTAATCACTTTAAAATCTATGTGGATGGGAGAGTGAAATGGGGATGGTATTCCTTGCTCTCATTATGTATACCTAAAAATCCCAGACATTATACACGAAACAAACACATTAAGGCTCAAAAAGACAAGGAGAAGGCAGACAGGCCATCATCTTCAGAGCTTTAGGAAAAACAGCAAAGTGGTTTCCCTGGGTTTCCTTCTTTGCCTTATAGACTGACAACTACAGATAAACTGAAAATGCAGGAAGGCATACCAGAAAAGCCTTGATAAGTGAGACTCGTGGCTGACCACCCTGGAGTGTACAGTGCAGTAGCAGAGGCAAGAACAAGGAACACAGGAGACTGTACCCTAGAGAGTTGTGCTGTGACCCTCACACTTCCCATGGCATGACATGTGTTCATCCAAACACACACACACACTCTCTGTCTCTTTATCTCTCTCTGTCTCTATCTCTGTCTCTCTCACATATTCTCTGTGTCTCTCTTTCTCTGTGTGTCTCTGTCTCTGTGTGTGTCTCTCTCTCTGTCTCTGTCTCTCTCTCTCTCACACACACATACACACACACACTCAACATTTAATAAAGGTCTGATCTATCCAATACTAAGGACCAGCCATCATTTAGACAATAGCCAACTCAGACAAAACTGTGATGGTGCCCACCCTCTCCTGTTCTCTGCATGCTTATGTTCAACATTCTCAGCTTCTGGGATGCCAAGGAAGTAAAGAGAGAAAGGCAAGGCTGCTGCTCTAGACAGATGGTAAGAGAAGCCCCACCCCATCAACCTTAGTGTCCATAGAAACTCTGGACTCTTACCGCGCCAGTGGTTAAATTAAAGAAGCAAATGTATCTTTCCCATCAAGATGGTGTCAGAGGTGACCTAGTGGGGAGCCGCAGTTAGGAGCACCTGCTGCTCATTCCAGGGTGTTCAACCTGAGTTCAGCTCCTAAGACCCTCATGAGGTAACTCACAATGCCTTGGAACCACTGCTCTAGAGGATCCAATGCCCTCTTCTGGCCTCTGGGGCATCTGTGCACATGTGCATACAGATACACAAATAAATGAAAATAAGAAATAAACCTTCAAAATTATAATTTAACTATACACTGCCAATGAGAATCTCATTTCAAATGTAGCAGTATAGGTAGAATAAAAGAAAAGGTATATGTCATGTAAACACTAATCAAAAGAAAGTAGGGATAAATATAGTAATAATAGACAAAGTGGACTTCAGAGTAAGGAAAATTACCAGAAAGACATTACATGATAAAACAGTCAACACAACAAGAAGAGATAGTAGTGCTAAGTATATATGAACCAACCATGGGGCTTCAAGTTACATGAAGTCAAAGTGACAGAACAGAGAGAATGAAAGGACAGTCACACTGGAAACATCAGCGGTCTACTTTAAACAGCTGGCAGAACAAGCGCATGAATCAGCAGGATACAGGAGGCTTTAATGCCTCTACCAATTGGAAGTAGGATACAGGAGGACTTAATGCTGCTACCAATGGGACTGGGATACAGGAGGACTTAAGGCCACTACTGATGAGAACTGGGATACAGGAGGATGGGATCCGGCTTTTAGAATGATCTATGCAACAAGGCAAAACACACAAATATTTTAAAGTTTTATTTCTATTCTATTTTATTTATTATTGTTTGCATGTGTACATAATGTGTGAGTGTGTGTGTGTACACACGTGCATGTGTGTGTGCATGCACTACTGCATGTACCATGGTGCATGTGTGGAAGCTAGAGGACACCTTTTTCAAATTGTTTCTCTCTGCATACCCTTATGTGGGTTCTAGGGACCAAATTCAGGTTGCCAGGCTTTCAAAGTAAGCTTTTCACTCACTGAATCATCACATTGGCCCCACATATTTGGTAGCAGAAAAATAACAGGAACTGTCTGCTCTAAATAAGGCATATCCTTCTAGTAACCACAGGGCTCACAGAGGACATCTCCCATGAAATAAGGAAACAATGGACATAGTCAATATACAACACGCCAAAACGTATACGGAAAAGCTAAAGCAAAATTGGAGACAAATTTTATAGCATGTATTTAGAAGAGATTCAAATCAATTGTCTAAACCTTTACCTTAGTTAAGCCTTCACCAGTAAAAGAGCAAATTAAACCCTAATACTTATCATCTAGAACAGAAATCAATGAAATTCAAGATCAAAAGAAAAAAAACAGAAAAGCTATGAAATAATGAGCTGATTAAAAAAATCACTAACTAAAATTGATAAATATCTAGACAGACTGGCAAAGAAAACAAAATGTAAGACATAGTGAGCCATATTAAACACTAAAGACACAAAACGGATAATAAAAATACATCAAACAATTCTACATGCATAAATTTGCAACCTAGGAGCTCCCCAGTTCCCAGAAAAGCAAGAAAACATAAACTACTACTATTTTCTCAATATGGAATTAATAAACTTGATAGCTCTGTAAGGAGGGGTTAGGGAGAGACAGGAGGAGGAAGGAATAAATAACACTAAGGATGTCTGAAATAGTCATAGGGAATTACATTATTTTACATTAACCCAAAATTAAATATAACATATATAAGTTTGTGTTTGAGTAAAGTTATAGTTATGTCATTTGGGAAGATAATGCCTCCTGCAAGAGCCACAGACTATCAAAAATCCCAGCACCAATCATGAGAAATCTTCTTTAAAGTTGGCCAGGTGGGTCCAAGAGATTCCCCATACAGTAATTCTGTTACCCTTGGTTGCCTCCCAGAAACTGAAGGTAAGACCCTGTTGCTAAAGACATCACCAACTTTGGACACAGGACTTGAAGGATTCAAGCCTGATCTGACCCCAAAATTCCCTTCTTGGGGATGAACTTTCATAGTATCAGAGGGTATTATGCAAGCTGCCAAGGGAGGAAAGCAATTGATAGTCCTGCCCCGCTGTGACACCAATGAAAACAGCAATGACTAACAGGGAAAGATTCCTTAAAGGTATAATAGTGGCACTTATATTATGGTGGTAACCATCAGCTATGAAATGGGACTTAGAGCCTGATCAACAGGAAAGAAATCACAACTGGTACTGTAAATCTAT